ACTAGGAAAGATCAATCAGAAAGACCTGAATTGGAGTGACACGATGAACAAATTTTGTGAAGAAGACTGATGGAATGAGAAAAAACTAACGTTATGAACTGGATGTAATTCTGTCAGAATGTATCGACAGTCAGGACAAGTGGATGATGAATTTGAGGCCAAAAACAAAAGAGGTAACTACCTGGGAATTGATAAAAGATTAAAAAATGTCACGTGGAGAAGTCCTCCACAGGAGGTTGACCTACCAAAAATTTTGGAGGATTGAGAGGTCACTCCTTGAGAGAAAGTGTGATGGAACTGGAAAGTTAATCAGGAACAAGAACAAAAGCACCTGGAACACGACCCTCCAGGAGACTTATGTCAAGTGTGTGGGTTTAAAAAGGGAGATCAGCTGTCTACCACAAAGGGAACATAAATGAGTGTCTCCTGGGTGAGTGACAGAAGCCACCATTGTCAAATGGTCGAAATGAAACAAGAGTAATCAAAACTGGACAAGAGGAAGAGAGTGAACAAAAGCACATTGGACTGGCGAAAGTGCCAAGGTGTGAAGGAGATAAGACATTATGACTGTAGACCATTGTGCTGAAGCCTCCTACTGATCAAACCACATCCCCCACTTCTGGAGATGAACATCAGTGAAGAGAAATAATCCAGAAGAGAAGGAGGAAATGGTAAACCTGACGTTGTAGGGGATATGATCAACTAACAACATAAAGAGATGAAGAGGAAAGGATGAAAATTAAGAGGAAAATCAAATTAATGGCTTGGATAACAGAAAACCCCATTTGAGGAGTAGAAGGAGACTAGAATGTGAAGTATGGAACAGGAAAAACATATCCAACTGGAAAATCCAACTAACCGAACTGACAGTGGAAGGGGGTATATGAGTAAGTTAAGACTACCCCCTTTAAGAAGGAGTTAACCGAAGCTAGACATCCAATGAATGGTATAGATAAAATACTCCAAAATGTGGAAGTCAGGTAAAATGCAGACCACCCCACAAAAGACACATGGAACCAAAACAAGTCCAAAAGGCAAGACATGAAATTGGGACTGAAGCACGTGGTGAAAATAACCTAAGATAGTGACCCGATAATGCAAAATAAGAACGTGTACCAAGAGCATTCCCAGTCATGAAGAAATAGCCTACCCATATGTGATCAAAGACTACAAAATAAATGGGGAAGAACCAATAAGTGATTGAGGCAGTACTAATTGATCCATAACCCCAAACAACATCGAACAGGTAAATGAATGAAGATAACAATATTTTAGAATGAAACAAAAGAGCAACTAAAAAAATTAATATAGCATGGCAGATACCCCACGTGACTCTAAATGCACAGGGATTGGTGGAGAAGAAGAAACTGCCATTAAGTTTCATTAGCATTAGCAGTGGATGGGAAACAAATAGCAGTGTCCCACCCAAGAAGATCCCAAAAACAAAGAAGCCATGTGTGGAGGGAAACAACTGAAGATGGCAAATGCCCCAATATGGAGAGAAGAAGGAGGAAGTATCCCATAAAATTCCCTAAATACGGGTGGAACACATAAGAAAGGAAGTGGAAGGTAAATATTACCTATGGAAGAGTAGATAGCTAATACAAAGCTTAAAACTAGGTAGGGGAGAAAATGGATAGCATTAACCAAAATCTGAAGGGTATAAAATCAAGAAGAAAATCTGTCTGACGGTAAGATAAGGCAAGAAGAATTAAAGCCTGTATAGGGAGAGGCTTGCAAGTACCCACTTTCAAATGAGATGGGTACAGCCATCATAGGAGGAAGGCAAGCAATAGTGGGAGCAGGTAAGGTGGACCCCAGCCCCCAGGGGCCCACACAAACGAAATTAAGGGTAAGAAGTATAAATTAAATGAAATTAATGGTAAGAAGGATAAATTATACAGAATGACGAAAATTAAATATGGAAAAATTAAGAAATTGTATAGTGAAATAAACATATGTACTACATGTTATGTGTTGAAGAAAACAAATATTTACCCTAACTATTGATTAACCCGAAAGTATAACCACAAGCAAACTACCATTAATAGACACTTGTTAAAACTAATCTAACAAAATATTTAACTTAATTAACGATTAACCTGGTAAACCTAAAATAACAGACACATGTTAAGTCTAATCGAACAGAGCAGGACAAAAGATATCATTAAGCTCCAAAATAAAAATCTTAACCTCAAAATAAGTATGTACCATATTGGGAGAAGTGAGTGACGACCCCCCCCCACCCCCCCATCACTGAGAAAATAAAAATAGGCCGTCACGGATAGTGTTAAAGATTCTTTAGAAACTCTCAATTAAAAAAGTGTTTTATAATCTTTCAACTTAACAAAA